TGCTGCTGGCCAAATGCGCCTCCCCCTCCAAATGCTACAGTATGACGACCGTATTTGAGTCTGGATCCAGACGATTGAAAGAGCAACTGACCTCCGGGAGTGGCTCCAAACGCGCCGGTGCTAGGCTGGCCGAAGACAGAGCCTCCTGCCTGATTTGGCTGCTGCTGTTGCTGCTGGTTTTGCTGAGGATTCGCCCAGGAGGACTGGATGTTGCTGCTCCCGAACATGGTGAGGGCAGATGAGCGTCAGGAGCAAGCGACACGGCCGTCGACTCGGACAAACGACTCGACTCTGCCGCGCCGCGAAACTCGCCCACGTGACCGGGCCGGGATCCGAAGCCACACGCCCTCAGACTTTTTCGCCGGTCTGCACTGTGCCGTTCTCTGTTCGCCGCCGCCATGCTAGACGGCTCGGGCCACTCCTCCCGCCCACAAGACACGTTTGGAACCCTCAAGCGCGAGAAAACATTCAAGCGGCCCGCTCCGGACGGCAGCACTGTCCCCATTCTTCAGGAGTTCGTCGCGCCGGCCATCGAGTCCTTCAACGCGCTCTTCGACGACTCCGGCCTGCCAAACGGCGACGGCGATGGCCGAGGACTGCTGAGCCTTGCCATCAAGGACATTGGGGAGAAGGTCGTATTTGATGGAAAGCAGGGCGTGAACGCAGGCTGGGGAAACCGCATGCGATGTAAGTGTGACTCTGAGCCCATCCGTGTGCCGCGTTCATAGCTTGCAGTTTGGATCGAACAGGTCTCCATCGGGCGGCCCATGGTTCCTGACAAAGACCGGCAGGCCGTGGAGCGCAGAGTGTTCCCTACCGAGGTATTTCATTCCATCCCTTCGCGTCGAGCTTCCCAGACCTCACTGTATGCGCGCGATAGGCCAGAGAACGGTTGACTACATATCGCGGTCGCATGACCGTCAAGCTGTGCTACAAGATCGACGAAGCTGGACAGACAGTCAACACAGTCACCAAAGACTGTGGCCTTGTGCCCATCATGGTTAGAGTACGTCACATAGCATATGTAACGACCCATACATCCAAACTCAACGTTCGTAGTCTGCAAGGTGTAATCTCAAGGGCATGTCTTCCGCAGACCTTGTTAAGCATCATGAAGAACCCGAAGAGTTTGGAGGCTACTTCATCATCAACGGCAACGAGCGTCTCGTCCGCTACCTCATTCTACCTCGCCGGAACCATGTGATCGCCGTCACTCGTCCCTCGTTCAGCAACCGTGGACCCTCGTACACTCCCTATGCTACCCAGATCCGCTGTGTTCGGCCAGACCAGAGCGCCGTTACAAATACCTTGCATTATCTCTCAAACGGCAACGCCATGTTCCGCTTCAGCTGGCGCAAGCAAGAATACGTTATCCCTGTTATGCTCATCCTCAAGGCTCTTGTCGGCGCCTCCGACAAGGAGATCTTTGAGGGTCTCATGATGCATGACTATGAGAACACGTTCTTGTCGGACCGTGTCGAGCTCTTACTTCGTAGCTTCAAGACATTTAGCTTGCATACTGGCGAACAATGTCTGGATTATCTCGGCGAGAAGTTCCGCGTCGTACTTGGCCTTCCAGAGGACTGGACGAATGAGGCCGTCGGCGCATGGCTCGTTAACAAGCAAGTCCTGGTACATCTCGAAACACCTAGAGACAAGTTCAGGATGCTTCTGTGCGCCCGCTCCCTTGCTCAGCAGCATATACTTTGATTGAGGTTGCCCGCAAAGGTTCATGCTACGCAAGCTGTTTGCCATCGTGTCCAAGTCATGCGCTACAGACAATCCAGATTCCCCTCAGCATCAGGAGGTTCTCCTCCCCGGCCAGCTTTACGGCATGATCCTCAAGGAGAAAATTGAAGACCTGTTGAACGGCATCCGCTTACAGATCGTCACGGATCTTCGGCGCGCTGAGTCGTCGGTGGACTTCTTCAACGGTACTCCCTGTCCTTCTTGTGACATTCGCATATCACTCATGCATCTACCCCAGAAAAGTACATCACACGAGTGCTCAGTCGTGTCAACTGGGACATTGGCGGGCGAATGGCGAATTTCCTCGCCACAGGCAATCTCGTCTCACCGACGGGCCTCGATCTACAACAAGCGTCAGGCTTCACCATCGTCGCAGAGAAGCTCAATTGGTATCGATACATCAGCCACTTCCGCTGTATTCATCGAGGCGCCTTCTTCGCCGAGCTCAAGACGACTACAGTTCGTAAGCTCTTACCTGAGGCATGGGGTACGTCGCATTTTTCCTTCGATATGCATATAGGCGCAGCCCTAAGCAAACGCTACAGGCTTCTTGTGCCCGGTTCATACCCCCGACGGTTCACCATGTGGTCTATTGAATCATCTATCCCGGACGTGTCGCATCGTTACTGCACCTCTTGCGGTGAAGCACATACCGGCTTTGCTCGTCGGCCTCGGTATGGCGGAGTCCTTTGCTCCTTCAGTGCACGGCAGCAACACTCTCTGCGTGCAACTGGATGGGCGCGTCATCGGTTGGGCAAGACCGACTCTCGCTAAAGAACTGGCCACCACCTTGCGCATCTGGAAGACGGAAGGCAAGAACAAGATTCCGCTCGACCTCGAAATTGGCTATGTGCCTCCATCCGAAGGCGGGCAGTATCCCGGTCTCTTCCTTTTTTCATCTCGCTCTCGCATGATGCGCCCGGTCAAGTACGTGGCCAACGAGCGAGACGATCAAATCGGCTCGTTCGAGCAGGTATACATGGACATCGCCATCACGCCGGAAGAGATCGAGAGGGGCGTATCTACACACGTCGAGCACAAGCCGACCAACTTCCTGTCCATTCTTGCGAACCTTACGCCATTCTCGGACTTCAACCAGAGTCCGCGCAACATCTACCAGTGCCAGGTTCGTCTGGTTCATATTCCTCTTCACTCGTATATCGCATACTGACCATTATATCCTAGATGGGCAAACAAACTATGGGCACACCCTCGACGGCCATCAAGCATAGGACAGATAACAAACTCTATCGTTTGCAGAGCGGACAGACGCCCGTCGTCCGGCCTTCTTTGCACACCACCTACGGCATGGACTCGTTCCCGAACGGTACAAACGCTATCGTTGCCGTCATCTCTTATACCGGATACGACATGGAGGACGCCATGATCCTGAATAAGTCGGCGCATGAACGTGGTTTCGGCTACGGCTCTGTGTACAAGTCGCAGATCGTGGACCTTCAAGACCAGAGAGGTGCGAAGAAGGGCGGCTTACCGACAATGCACTTCGGTCTTGGGTCGGACGTCAAGTTTGAGCCGGAGGATAAAGCGCACTTCTGTACACAGTTCCTCGACCGCGACGGCTTACCATTTGTTGGTGTACGCGTATCGCCTGGTGACCCTGTCGCAGCTTACATCGACGATACGAGCGGACGCACCAACATGGTTAAATACAAGGGAGATGAGGTTGCATATGTCGAGGAAGTGCGCTTACTAGGTTGGGCCTCATGCTTGCTCTTGAAAATGCATGCACTCAACCCCTTGATAGGTTCCGACGCCGGCGACGCTGAGCTACAGAAGATTCATCTCACGCTGCGCATACCACGTTCACCTGTCATTGGTGACAAGTTCTCCTCTCGTCATGGACAGAAGGGCGTCTGCTCGCAGAAGTGGCCGGCGATTGACATGCCGTTCAGCGAGAGCGGGATGCAACCCGATGTCATCATCAACCCACACGCCTTCCCCTCGCGTATGACGATCGGCATGTTAGTCGAGAGCATGGCTGGGAAAGCAGGCGCGATGCACGGTCTGGCGCAGGATGCCACGCCCTTCACGTGAGGCAGTTTGTATCATCTTCCCCTGTGGCGTGTGCGCTGAGCGCCTTGTTTACGCAGGTTCTCCGAGTCGGACACCGCCATCGACTATTTCGGCAAGCAGCTGTTAGCTGCGGGGTACAACTACTACGGCAACGAGCCCATGTACTCCGGCATAACGGGCCAGGAGTTCGCCGCGGACATCTACCTCGGCGTCGTGTACTACCAACGCCTTCGCCACATGGTGTTGGACAAGTTCCAAGTGCGCACGACTGGACCGGTCGATCCTGTTACCCGTCAACCCGTGAAGGTCAGTTCTAATTGCCTCTTCTTCATCAACTCGCTAGAAGCTCATTCTTTTGTTCGTTCACAGGGCCGCAAACGCGCGGGCGGCATTCGTTTCGGAGAGATGGAGCGCGACGCACTCATCGCCCACGGGACCTCTTTCCTTCTCCAGGACCGTCTCATGAACTGCTCGGACTACTCCACGGCATGGGTGTGCCGCACGTGCGGCAGTCTCATCTCGCTCGGATACGACGACGTCTCGCTGGGTGAGAGCGTTTCATCAGGAGGTACATCGCGCGCCACAGCGCCCGGTGGCGAGTACTGCCGCACTTGCCGCGCCGCTGCACAGAGCGAAGATGAGCGCTCACGCACTGCGCTCGCGACGGGCCAGGACCCGGCTAACGTGGGTCATGCGGATGTGCGCATAGCCATTCCTCGCTCTCACATCCTTGACGCCCGTCCCAAAGGCGCGGATCTGGACGTTGTTGCCGTCCCCTACGTTTTCCGGTATCTATGCGCTGAACTTGCGGCGATGGGCATCGCCGTATCTGTCGACGTACAATGATCGCTGGCCACGAAAAGTAAATGTATCTTCACACGTACTCCTCGCCCTAGAGGGACTTGCTGTATTCTTCTAGACTTGTAGCTTTCATCGCTATCACCTTGCTTTCGATCATCTCTCCCGAAATGAGATTGAGCGCTCAAAGGTTAAATACATCAGGGTACTGTGGAAGGTATCATAAACGAGCGATGCTAACAGATCAGAATACGACGAGGCCTCCGTCACCACGCTATCCTTTTCCCAGGCAGAGGCCGATTCTCAGGCGAACGCAATGCCCATGACAGCCGCACCAAGAACAACAAGGCTATTGACGGTGAAAGTGGTCGCATCGGAAGATCCTGTGCTGGCGGGTGACGCCGCGCTGCTGGCAGAACTACCGCTCGCGCTACCGGTAGCGGCCGCAGAGCCACTGGCGGAGCCGGAAGCAGAACCCGTCGCGGCAGCACTACCGCTCGCTGCAGCCGCGGTGGGGTTACTCAACCCTGAGACGCCTGCTACAGTGAGTGGGCTCGGAGGGGCAGAAGCCGATGCTCCTACGCCAACGAGGCCTCCTTCGTCTTGCTGTAGGCGCAGATCGTTAGCCGAAGCAGGTATGACAGCGAATTGTCCGGGCTACGTACACCGGGTTGACCGCTGGCCTTCTCTGCAGCGGCTTGGAAAGCCGCGAATGAGAACTGGCCCGAGCCGGGCACGTTGATACCGCCGACCATTCCCGCGGTGCAGTGCGGCTGAGGCGCGAGTTGTTTGCAGTGGAACCAGATCGCTGTGAACGACGTCGGTGAGGGAACCACTTTGAGGGTAAGGAACACTGCTCACGGACGGACTGGTTTGTGATCGTCAAGTTCCATGTGGGGATCGCTGCGGGAGTGCCAGAGACGCCAATCTCAACAAAACCTGAGTCAAACCCTCCGGGCATGGTCTGGCACGGGCTCGTGAAGTTAGACTGCGTGACGGAGTGGAATCCTGGACTGATAGAGAGTATGTCATCAACGTATAGTAGATGGGTGGGTATCGGGGATGCTTACACTCCGCTGAAGTTAAAGGTGATGACCGAGCCCGTCGTAGCATTCAGAGTCGTGGGGGTGAAGACAAAGACATCACTACCCGACGACAACCCGACTTGGATCTGCAATATCAACAGTTAGTCATGAACGCACAAGAAGAAGAAGAAGGGCACAGTAGCGTCCTGGGCCATTGCCACAGCGGCAAGCGTAAGTGCGGCGAGAGGTGCGGCGAACATGATGTACGGAGGGACTGGCGAAGGCGAGAGCTTGCTGAGTGAGACGGTGCTGCTCTGTAGGGTATATATACGGAACTTAGAACGCCGCAGACGACGTTCTGTGAGAGGCAGGTAAGCTCAGAGCGAGCGTCCTGCACTCAAAGGCGTCTCACGTCAGTCCTGGTAAGTTGAAAGCGCTGAGAACGGGGCGCCGGACGTAAAGAATTAGACTCTGGCATCCCTACTCAGCGCACAGATCAAACGGGCAGGTTGTTCGGATGGTATGTATTGCCGCCGTCGTAGTGGAACGATAGCTTCTAGGAGCCATAGCCACTGCCAGTCCCCAAGCGTAAGCCTCCCACAGCCATATTGTTGACGGATCTCTACCCGCCGAACCTGCAGGAAGGATAACATGAAGGCTGCGCGCGACGTCGAATGCCACCACGGGCACACGGGTCCTCTCACAGGCCAATGCAAGGCATTCGCGAAATAGCCTCATTGAGACTTGGGAACCTACACACGGTCTATTCCATTCCCACAGGCCCGCATTGGCTGCAAGACCAGTCGATCGATTTTACACCGCAAGAATGGCACAAGGAGTGAGGAATGCGAGCATGACGCATTTGCGGGGCGGTCCGGAAGACTGTCAAATCTTCGCTGGCGGTACATGGGCAACGATCCGCGCCGACGAGATGAGCATCTATAACGTAGGGACGCTGGAAGGTTGGGGACTCACGCCCGGTACTCCCACGCTTCTTGCGCTTTATCGTTTCATTTTCAGGATAAGATCATCTTAGTTGTCAGAGCAGTTGAAGTCAAGATGCGCAATGCTATAGGTGTAATGTTACAACCCCAAAGGTATAACATGCTTCAGCCACTCCTTAAGCTGATCCAACTCTTCTTCACTCGCCGAGTGTCCGAGCCCATCATATACATGAAGAGAGACTCCGCGAAGTTGGTCGAAAGAGTGTCCCGAGATATTCTCGGGCGCAAGCTTGGTGCCAAGCTCAGTTTGCATCCATGCTAGTGACTGTCGTGCGAAATCCCATTTCACTAGCGGGTCAGAGCGACCGTGTCCCCAGAAAATGGGCAGCCGGCGTGCGTTCTCGGTCGCCATCTATATGAATAGGCGTGAGCGCAAAGTACCGGGACGGATAATCAGATGAACAGACAGGTTTGAGCGTTTTGAGAGCGGGTGCCCAACCACTCATCACGGCGAGTCCAGCAAGCGAACGTTCATGGGTCAAGCCGGTAAGTAGAGTCATTGCACCTCCTTGTGAGAAGCCGGCTAGAACGATGCGGTCGGACGGAATACCGGCGTCGACCTCATCTGTGATGATTCGGTTGAGCGCGTACATGCTTCTCAACATGCCCTGTTCGTCGTCTCTGTGTGTACGAGGATCAAACTCGAAGTCGTAGATGTCAAACCTGTACAGGATTAGCGCGTTATACGTGCCATCCGAGATATATACCGTCGCGCACCATCCTGGCATCGGCATCCCCCCATTGCCTGTGATAGGAATTGTAGGTCTGGAAGAGTGAGGAGTCGTCTAGCTTCGACCATGATGTAGACGTACGCGTGCGGCATTATCCATTTAACGTGCGCTAGTGCGGGGTCCTTCTTCAGCATGCTTGCCACCGGAGACCAGCCGTGACCTGTATCGCCAAGACCCTGTAGCAGGCGACGTGACATCCTTCCGACCATGCATGAATGAAGCCGACTAACATGAGCGATAATGACGGTGGCTGTGTGATCGTGGCCGTCGGCCGGGCTCACAACGACCGAGCGTAGTGGTTCAACGGTCGACGCCATGGTTGACAGTCGCGCAGAGCGGACGGATATGTTGTTTCGGAGAAGATTGCGTAGACCAACTATAGTCTACACGACGGAGATTCCGGCGAGAACGATTGACGCGTGACGGCAAGAGAGGAAGAGAGGGAAGCGCTCACGAGCATGATGGAGAGCCCGATAAGTCCAGCTCGAAGCGAGCGCGGCGTTTGAGAAAGCATCGCGCCGTCGGCGCAGATCTAATCGCGTGCCTTTTCATCTTTGATCGCTTTCTCCGTCGCCATCATGTCCGAGCCTGCACCTCCAGTCTCTGAATTTGCGCCACTCCCTTGCGCATCTACAGAAACTTCAGCCATAAAGGCTGAGAAACCAGATGGAGGGTCATCGGGAGATGCCCCACCGCTCTCCAAAAATGCTCAGAAAAAGGCGAAAAAGGCGGAGCTGATGAAAGCTCGGAAGCTCGAACGGCGGATGCGAGAGAGGGAGGCGCGCAAGGACAAGAAGCGCAAACGAGCCGAGCGCATCGCCGCCGGGGAAGAGCTCTCGGACCATGAGCAGGCGAGGAAGCGCGCAAAGGCTGCAGCAGCAGGACCCAAGAAGCCCTTTGACGCCCGAGTGCTCATAGATCTCGGCTTTGACGACAAGATGAGCGACAAGGTGCGCACGACCCCTTGACCGACTTGTCTGCATTCGAATGAACGTGGATCGCAGGAAGTTGGATCCCTCATATCTCAACTTTCATATTCCTACAGTACGAATAGGCGCTCGCGAACACCCTTCACTTCTATCCTGTTCACGTCGCTCAATGGGCGCACTAAAGCGCGTATGGACGACATGAACGACGCTGGCTACCGGCGATGGGCTGCGACGGAGTGGTGGCAAGGAGAGTTCAATGACCTATGGGTTGAGAACGGGCAGCCTGCAGATCCTGTGGCTATTGCGCCACAACAGGACGCCGCCGAAGTTCAGGATGCACAAGATCCCGACGCGGCGCCAATGTCAACGCGAGCGAGAGCTCCCAAAGCTTCCGTCGTTTATCTCACAGCAGATTCATCTGACGTATTGGAAGAGCTGAAAGAAGGAGAGACGTATATCATTGGAGGGATCTGTGACCATAACCGCTATAAGGTGCGCTACAATAACGTCTACCCAACTACGGACTGACAGTCGTCGTCCAGAATCTGTGTTTGGACAAGGCGAACCACTATGGTATACGTGCGGCACAACTACCTATTGGACGCTATCTGCAGAATCTTCCCACGCGTAAGGTATTGACGGTGAATCAAGTGTTTGAGATCCTCGTCAAGTGGGTCGAGGCGCGTGACTGGGAAGAAGCCCTGTACTCGGTGATCCCAAAACGGAAGTTCCAGCAGGGAAAGGGTCCCAGGTCTACAATCGAGATGGACGAGGAGACGGAAGACGATGAGACGGCGGACGGTGCAATAACGGTGGCGTTGGAAGACGTAGAAGGCGACGACAGAGGGGCAGATGGCTCATGAGCTCAGGACTTCCTGCAAGTTGGTTTGCCCGGTGCCGCGCTCCAAAGGTTTCCTTTGCGAAGGGTCGGGCTTCCAACCAATCTTGTAGACAGTCAACAATGTGCAGTATATGGAAAGAGCGTAACGGTTTACCAAGTAGATGATTTGAAACGTAGCCGGCACGCTACCGTCCGCCTCACCGTGAAGGGCTACTCCGAAAGTCAGATCACGCTAAAGCGTGGGGACACGCGCTGACCTTGATAGATGGCCGACGCTGCTGCCAATGTATCTCTGTGTAAGAAATTGCGCCTACAGTGCGCACTCAGTAACGTGCCTTACACCACTGCGACAGAAGACGCACCTTCCGAATATTGCATTGCTCTCGCCCATATCTTGCAGGTCCTCGAGAAGCTCCCACATGCTGGGGTAATGCACCTTGACTTCGTCAACGTCGACTGTCAGCAGAGTGAAGCCAGCACGACTCATGAGACTGGACATATCACGCGGATCTAATAATATGTTAGTGATATTCACGGGCAGCTGACAAAGTTCGCACCCGCCATAGGCGATATATGCGGAGAGATACCGCCTTCACGCTCGACCTCAGCGAGTTGAAGGGCAGTTCGTAACTCGAACAGAGTGTCACCCCCGAATAACGCGCCGACAAAGACACCGTCAGGTTTTAAGGCCTCTTTCGCCTGGACAAGTACACCTGTTGCTTCGCCGTGAGAACGAGGCACAAGTAAAGGGCGTCTGAGCCAACCTGGCAAGTCATTTACCCAGTGGAGACTAAGACAAGACGTGATAGCTTCTTGTGAGTTCCGTGGTACATGTTCGAGCAGGAACTCTTCGTCCACCACCTTCCTGTCAACAGGCACTGAACTCGGTCAGCCCTTCGCGGTGTGTGTAGCTGGGTTATGGACTGACCATCGAAAGCGTCGTTCGAGTCGCGGTGCAGGAGTTTCTCTAAGAGTTTGGTCAGAAGTGAGAGGAATATGTGATGCAGTGACAGACCGCTCATGTCAAACATAGTAATCTTGTTTGCCTTGTGCTTCTCCAGAAGCTGGGCGAAGTGGCCGGCACCCGAGCCCAAATCGAGTACATTCGTGAAGTTGCGTTTGATGTCCTGGGCGTAGCACATGAGCGGAGTTCAGCAGCAAATGTATCGACTTTGACTGTATACCATGAAGCGCTCGACCATCCTATCCGCTACCTCCTCGCGCACGTAGTCCACGGTCCGGCTCCTGCCTCCGTTCTCGCGCAACGCGGCGCGGTCCTTCTGCATGCGCTTCATCCGCCGATCAAATACCTCGAAGGGGCCGACACTATTTGGGTTGATAGGTCCTGACGAAGCTGATGCATATGTGCGCAGGGGCAACCGTAGGGAGCGGGCAAGCGAACGGGCAGCCATGGTCGCACACGCTCGAGACGCGACGCGACTCGACGCGCCACTGAGGCGCGTCCGATGTATTCTCACGGTCTCACGAGCACAAACGCGCGCGTAGGTTGATCTCGGGCCTTTGGCTTTTGACCACCACTCCGCTCGTCGCTACATGAATCCGTTTGACCAAAACCCGGGTCAGAATGGACAACCCATGCAACGTCCGAGAGAGCTGTACCTTCGGGATCTCAAGGCCCGCCTCATTTTAACACGAGACGGCGGCGGCACGGTCATCCCGGACAACGGTGATATGCCCCACCATGTAGATCAGACACGGGTCGACGAATATATAAATCATCTTGAGGCCCTAGCTGCGAGTGGCCGGCAGGCTATGTGCGTGCCTCCTACTACTTCTCTCTGCTGTCCACTGACCCACAGGCAGGGAGGCCTTGAACCAGCTGCAGTCTGTGTTCGTATTTTCCAGTCACCCTCTCACTCTCGAGTCTGATCTCATGCGCTCAGACTCCCTGCCAACCACCGGCTCAGCAGACTGGCACTGCCGGCTCCTCCTACTGGCCCAGCATCTCCGGGCCCAGCAGCCATGGCAGGCAGTTCTCACCACGCAATGGGAGGATACGCCACCGTAAGTCACATCAAACGCACGAACGGCAGAATCTGACTACATGAATAGCAGCAACCGGCGATATCCTCTCCGGCATTTCCCCAGTCACAGCAAGGGAATGCGCCGGCCAGAATGAACGCATCACATACTATATGGGCCGGCTTTCAGCAGGCTGGTATGTCGAACACGACTTCCACGGTGCAAAATACTTCACAGGTGTGTGTATTGACATCAGGTGTCTCTCTTCGCTTCACTCATCTGCGCGCTTGGAAGTACACATATCCTTATAGCGGCCACTCGACTGTGCAATCCAGTGGTGCCGCTTCTTACCAGTCACTGGCTGCGAGTTACCCGTATGGACCTGGTATGGGGACTTAGCGGCGATGATCTGTCTATCGACTGCTCATATGCTTGTCATCCAGGAGTGCGGCATCATACGCAACAACAACAACGACCTACAATGAACGCGTCTACCTCAGGCTATACGCACAAGCCGCAAAACCCGGGACAACGTTGGTTCATCTTCACCGCACTAGCGTCAGAATGGTTCACCATTTTTACGCAGTCAACGCCCAGCCAATGACTAGTCCCGATACCACAGTAGATCCGCAATCTCGCCCAAGTTCAGGGGCTTCTGCCCAAACGGGTCAGCAAAGCGGTGTGTGTCCATGATACGCTAACAGTGATAACTCGCATTACTCATCACCTCGAATTTGCAGGTAATCCTGCTAGTGGGTCGTCGGTGCAGGGAGCCGTGAATGGAGCCCCTAGCCAGCCTTCTGTATCTACGTCGAGTATACAACCCTCAACGGGGACCCACTCGGGTCATTCGAACGATGGCGCTCAAGATTTTGGATTGACTATCACAAAGGAGCGCGAACCTAGCGCTAGCGAGCGTACGATGCTTTCCTGGTGACATAACCCTCCTCAAAACTAACGCTACATCCAGTACATCTGGATCTCTCTTACTTATCTCGTGTCAGTCTCCCAATATCCCTCGTATCAACTCCCATGCTGAGATCTCTCTGCCTAGAAATATGGCCCAGCAACCGCGAAGCGAATCATACTGTTCAAGCTCGAAAGCGCTGGTCATCACAAGCTCGTCCATAAACTCACGGTACCAAACGTTCATTCCTCGCAGTATACATACATCCTGGTTAACCCATATGTTCATATAGGCTGCCACTCCTCTGTCTGGTCTACCCGCCGGTTTGTCGACGACGTCCGCCCCAGCATCTGCTGCGAAACCTTCCGCACCTGCCCAGATGCCCTCGCCTGTGACTTCCCAGACGATCCTCACTGCCCCCGCGATGTCGGCACAGCATAACGCGTTGCCGCCGCTGCAGCCATTCCCCTCCGTGGGCGTATCATCCACGTCTACAGTGGTAACACCTCCAGCTAGTTCATTAACAGCGACCGCAACTGCAACGTCGAGCTCTGCACCATCTGCATCTATGGAACCAACGCTCGCGACTGCAATGGCTGAGATGGAGGCCTCGACTGATCCAGCTATAGCGGGATTTGCGCCCACTGAGCAGTCTCACTCCCATCAGCCGAGCACACATGACTCGCATTCGCGACAACGCGAACAACGGAAAATGGAAGATCTTCAGTCATCCGCGTCTAAACCGATATCAGGCGTCAGTACGACCCTGTCCGCGGCCGCCCCACAGACGGCACAATACTCAAGCGAGCCCGCTCCCAACCATCCACCGTCCGCGAGCATTCTGCGGGATTCCTCCGGGAGTGTACTGTCTCAACAACCGAACCGCAAGACTCTCGCTCGCGACATCTTACGTTCTCTGTCGTCTCCATACCCCGCAAGGCACTCTCAGACTGTCCGTATTTCTCATAATGCGCCGTCAACATCAGCTCGGAACTCGGCCCCGCGGACGCCAATACGTTCCATCCTTCCGCAGACTGATACTGACTCTCACATGTCGTTGCCAACGCCCGGCCCTGTGCCCCAGGGTGCGACCGTAATCTCACCCGGCATAGCCCTCCTCCACCATGACAGTACTGCAGCCTCGATGCCCCAAGACGCTCAAGAGAAAGCCAATAGGACGGACATTGGCATGCAAGATATATCAACTGGGCCGTCGTCACCCCGATCGCTTCAAGCGGGCGACCAGGCCGAGAAGCCTGTCAGTAACTCCGGCGAGCCATCTACGGACCGGCAATCTTCGAACCCCCCATCTGGGCCCATATTCATGGACCTCATCACCCCCGATCCATCGCCCCCGTTAAGCACACATCCCCTGGAAGACCCAGATGCCACCTTGCGTCCTGCATCTCACCGTGATCTGCGCAATGCGACTTCGTACGCGACTGGTGCGTCCGGGCCGGAGGCCGCGTTTGGATATATCTCGCCGCGCAGCTCTCCGCCACTGGCTGCGCATATAACCGAGGTCGAAGAGGAGGAAGAGGTTCAAGACGTCTCTGCGTCCGGCGTGGTCGAAGACGTCACCAATATCTCCACGGTTGAGAGGGATGTAGACATGGATGCTGGGCCTGCTGGGCATTCATCCGCCATGCTCAGAGGGACTTCCGCGGCATCGTTCAATCCCCGCAAGCGCAATCGCGCTTACGTCGATTTGCCACCGCTGCCCGCTCATCTTCGCCCCGCGCACCAGCGCATGCTGAAGAAGGCTCGCTTGGATGAGGCCGCGTCTGAGGAACGCGCTGCGGCGGAGAAAGCTCGTCAGGAAGGTGCATCTGCTTCGCACTAAGAGTATCGTCCATTTGCTTACTATGCCGCATCTTGGTAGAACGTTCAGGTCTGGATGTAGCGTTACCATAATGCAATGATGTGCTTACTTGGACTGCTACTTTGTGCAGAAATCACCGCCATGGCAACGCAGGTATTGGGCGAGTTTCCTTGCGAATGGGAAGGATGTGACGCACTATTGATATCGCTGCGCACACGCTTTAAACATTTCAAACAGCATCTTGAAATAGAGGCGGAGTTTGCACTCGAGGTGAGTCAAACTGAGACCTCCGTATAGGTAAATACTGAGATGCTTGCGTAGGAGGTCATCTGCAGATGGGATCGTTGCTCGGCTGAGGTGGAGCCATCGCGCGTGATGCAGCATCTCACTCTTCATGCACCACACGTTCTTCTTTGCCCTTATGAAGGTCAAGATTGACTCTATCACTGCAGAACACGACACTTATATGTCGTTTGTCAGGCTGTGGGCTTGAACTGGAGTCAAGTGCATTGGTTGAACACGTGAAAGGAGAACACGATAATACTCAAGGGCGTCTACCGGACTGCTTGCCTTCTACGCCATCGCTCGGTCCGCCGCCTGAGCGGCTGTCCAACGGCGTCTACTTCCCTCGCGTTGCTCAACCTGCTGTCATGTCCCAAGAATATCGACAAGAACTAGGACCGTGGGTATGTACACCATCGCACTGTGTGAAGTACGCGCATTGACACAATCAAAGGTCCTTCGCCAGATTCATAGTACGTCAAGCTATGCCCCCACTCGCAAAGGCCGATCGCACGCCCCCGAACCTCCACAAGAGGACGTATGGGACTTCATGGACGAAGTGGAAGTGCACGATAATGGCGGCTCGGCCCAGATATCCGTTGACCTGGATGACCTGGATGAGAGCTCGCATATCACGCGCATACTTCAGGAGGGAGGTCAGGTTCGCGTTTACGCGGAGGACGAATATGACTCTGTTAGCGATGACGAAGGGTCTCAATCGGCGAAATTGGAACACGACGCCGATGGATGCAAGAGCTCATCTGAGGGAGTGCAACATTCAGTCAGAGGCTCGGGTGACGAGGATGACCCGCTCGACCTGATTAGTGCGGGGTCCCGCGACTCGGAAGAAGGGGATATGGAGATAGTAGACAATTTGCTTGGGTAATCTGCTGTGCCGTTGCTTTGACTTATGCTATCTTCGCTACACGCGCTTTGTCATATACTAGCCGTCGCACGGACTCCGTGGTTCTGGATATTGGGGACGCATGTCGGTTGCAAACCTGGGTACTTGCATAATAATATTATATCGGACCATGCGTAGATTCCGTCAGCCCATAAGAAGGGTACAGTACATCATAAGCAACATCCTCATCTGCTCTCTCCTGGGAACATCCTCCCGACTTGCTCAGCCTCGCGTCTGCGCTTGTCCGCACGTTCTCGTTGCACAGGGTCTCGCAACGTCGCTCCATACTTAGCCAACTTCTCTAACATCGCTTGCAGCCGCTTTGGCTTGACGTCGCGATATTTAGATTGCCGCACTGCGGGTACCAGGAATTCGGCGACTTTATCTGAAAGCGCGATTGCCGTCGTCTATAAGATGCATTCAGCGCTATGGGAAGGAGACACGTCTCGAATGAGCTTACAGATCGAATTTCGGCGAATGAGCCATTCAGGTCCTCATGCCCCATGTCAGTGAACACGTTCTCGAGGAACCCGACATCCGTGAGGATCTGCGCAATGCCATTCTCATTCATCATCGGGATACTCCGATCAGTCAAGAAGTCCTGTAGGCAATCAGCAAAGCTTCTTGTGGCGAACGAACACGAATTTACCATGAGACACTGGGCGATATATGCAATCGCTTCTCTATATGACTCCTCTTTATACTCGTCTTTCAGCTGCAGTGAGTCGACGACAGTGCTCAACCAAGCGACCAGTTCGGTTAGGTACATGCTCGGCACTTCCTCTTTCTGTGCGGGCATCCAGTCGTACTCGCTAAGCCCGAAGAAATCATCAAGTTTACTCGCAATGACGGCTGCGACGCGCGCACGCGCTCGCACGAGGGCTTCAGCGAACGCTGGGGCAGCGGTGATTCGTACTGTGCCACCGCGCTGTGTTGCGCGCAACGCGGTTAGCGAATGCTCAAGCTCGGCACACGCGCCTTCAAAGTGTTCGAGGTTCGTGATCATCTGGGCGACTTGTGATGGTTGAGTAGTGCGCGAGAGTCGATGTAGGAAGGATGTTGTAACGTGTTCCTTAAGGATCGTGTCAAGTGACTGCGGAATTGATCAGACCACAGGTCCATAGGCATGCGCACACGGGGATTACCTTGCTCAAGAGCTCATCGACATTGCGGTGATGCTGTGAAACACCTTCAATGAATTGATAAAAGCGGTTAACAAAGCTGCGTATCTGGTTCAAGCAGCGTGAGCTTGTGTATGTTGCTAAACAAGGAGAACGTACGTCGGCACAGCAAAGTAGGAAACTGTTTGACCAGGGGAAGTAAACTGGCGGCGCCGACCTTAGGGGCGCCATTAATGAGGACTTGTGAGCCTTGAGTTCCGGATCATGCCGTACCTCGACAGCTCGTCTCGCTCAGCCTTTGTGAGCCAGACGGACCGCAGGACGTCTTCGAGTTCTCCGGCATCCTTAGCCATGAGCGGCTGCAAATCATCCTGCTGGACAATCTATGACCAAACTGGTGAGGTTATTGGTGCACGGATAACATAGCGCGACTTACGTCCTTGAACCGCTTGCTGTACTGACGCTCGAGTAAGGTCGCATACTTTTCGAATAAGCGCAATATGAACATATGCATTGATTGTGTCGAGTAAGAATATGACTACAGGGTACACTATCAGCACGGGTCGACACCTTTGCAGATGTAGACTGATGCTGACCTCGACGGTGATGACGAAATCTAATAAGTTCTCCTTGACCCGCAAGAAGGACGCTGCGTCGGTCTCCTTCTCTAAGGCTGCTTCGACCGCCATTGTGAGACGCTGTACCAGTGCATCCCACAATTCCTCGACCTCGCGAGAAGACCGGAAGCCTCCGGTTGTTTCGAGCACGTGTGATTCAATGATGAAGAAACCGGTGATTTCTTCGACGACACTGGTGAGAGAAGATAGTTGTACCGATGTTTGCAGGATGAGTTCGGATTGTCCCTGAATTGTATCAGCAGTGTACATAAAGAGGGCATCGACTGACTTACCGAGCGGCTTTCTTGGTACCACCGGCGAAGTTCGTCCAGCGAATCGAGGGCGGTATATATGTGAATGCTTTGATAAAGCGGTTTGAAGTCGACCTGAAGTTCATCGTTCTCGAGAACGTTATACCCGTACTTCTCGTACGTGACAGTCTCCGCTGCACTGCCGACCCGAGCCAGGCGTAGTAAAGGGTCGCGTTCGCGTCGGGCTTTCCATTTATTTGATCGAGCCTGCATGCCGTCGAGTGCGAGCCGACCGACGTTTCGAGTCAAGTTACGGATGTCAAGCAGCCATTGCTTGTTTTGCGCAGTCACTGCGCTCTTGATCTGTTCGCGCAGCGACGGTAGCGAGGTCAGGATATACTGGTACAGAGGTGTCTGAGCAAGTGAGCTTGCGGGCATTGATTGGATATCATCGATAGACTATGGAGCATGTTACCATCAGCAGAACTGGACTAGGATTATTAGATGTACTCACCCTTAGTGCCGACCAGTACTTTCCTTCCTGTACCATCTCACCAATCCTGTTCACTACGTCAAGCACACGCAGGCCGGCCTGGAGGTTGTCGATCGCCTCGTCCAGGTTAGCTGCGGTCTTCTTTGCCTGCAATAGTCCTCGCTTTTTCTCCACCAAGCCTCGGCCGACTTGAGATACGGATGTGTCAAGTGTGGTGATCTTGTCGCGGAGGTTATTGGTGTACGACTTGACGGTGAACAGTGTGGAAACAGAGGCCAGAAAGTCCTGATAGTTGTCGCCACATATGCTCTCGATCTCGGCGTCCTTGGCGTTGATCACGCCTTGAAGAGTGCGCAGGTAGGCATCCTGCTGCCTGTTCTGGTGGATCTGCTTGATGATAGGCCCGAGTTGCTCGAGGTTCTCTGAGGACGAGGACTGGTCGAGGAGGTGAATCTGTTGGAGCTGTTGCTCTACGTTTTCCTGCGTGTATTGCGGACGCCTTCGGGGCGGCATGGCGGACTGAGTGAACGCGGGGAAGTATCTCAAGGGCGCGAGGACGTGACCGCGTGAGACAAGTTGATCTTGCGAACGCGTTGAACGCGCGACGCGTCGCGCGTCTTCGCCTTCTTCCACCTCTCGCCGGTGGTCATGGCCGAATCCTCGAAACGCTCAAAACTCATCGATGTGTGCGTGTAGAGGAGTCACGTGCTCGCTATTGATACTGACTGTAGCACAGGACGTATAAGCAGCTCCACCAGCTGTATACGGGCACTGGCCAGGAGAGCTTGACGGCCGAGCAGGCCGAGGAATTGCTCGAACATCGCATACCCGCGCTCTCGAGCCTGCGCCGGCCGTTCGGGAAGCCAAACGCCGAGTCACGCAAGAAACTGGAGAGTGGCGCATTCACTCTGCGAGACGGCGTCCGCGTTCAGGCCGACGCGCTTGCCAAGTCGTCCGCGCTAGCCATCAGCGGCCGCTTCGACATCGACGAGATAGAGGCTTACGTCCTCTTTCGCTCTTATGTCTACAATGAGGCACTGCCCGGAGACCTCGCCCAAGACAACGCAACCCTCTTCCTGGACCAATTCGCACCCTTCTTCCATTCCGAACGTCGCTGTCTCCATCGACTTTACGTCCCCTTCTTGCGCGTTTTAGAGGACGACCAACTGATGCTGTACGAAACGGCCATGAAGTTCATACCGCTCATGATTCCGGACGGACCTGCGTTCGTTCAGGATCTCGTGGCCTTCTCTGCCGACAAGGCGCAAGCGCCAATACCGGACAATATGTCCACAGATCCCCGGAGGGCATCAACTTGGGCCAAGGAGAATGTGCGAGATCAGCTGGTGCTCCTTGAAGTGCTCTTCTGGGCCATGTGGGAGTTTGTCCCTCGCCGAGGCGCCCTCGTCGTTCAGATATACGAAACGGCGTATAGCACCGCTCTGGGCTCATTGCAACAAAACTCGACACTTCTTCTCGACGGAGAAAGCCTGCGCTTGCTTGAAGACTGCGCTTCTATGTGGCTGCTCATCATGCTCGAAGTCCTGGAGGTTGAGGCGTTCCTGGAGGGTCGTGTCCCTACCATTCATACGGCGACCTCGGAGACAGAGCTCTACATTTCATCCCCCGACTCCCTGAAGACCATCCACGAACTCGTCATCTCGCATGGCGACAGCCAGTATGTTCCTGTGTGCGTTGCATGGGCGGTCATCCTGGGTTACTTGGAGAATTCGGCACGCGCAATGGACGAGATTCCAGTACCGTACAAGCCGTTCTTCGACGTGCTAGATCCTCGCACCTCGAGAGGGTACTCGAAGAGCGCGGAGCCCGTGCATAGCTTCATTCTGCAACGATGTCTGGACCCCAGCGCCAACTTCCTCCCTACGCTCATGGCGCTCTTGACCCAAACGCCGCTCTTCGCCACCTCCATCTCGCTGGATACGGATTCCGCCATTACGCACGCGAATGCGATAGCATATCGGGCTATCATCAAGGGTACGCTCACACGCGTGATATAAAAGAGAACGCCCTGCTAATTCACCCGCAGGCGTCCTCATTGGCTTGTCCGAAGCGATGCCAGTCGAGCTGATACCGGATTTCGACACGCTCGTTGAAGTTTGGGTCGCATTATTCGGGCGCGGAGAAGCACATTCAGTCGTGGGTATATGCCTCCAGTTTTGGCAGCATGACTTCCGACAAGGTGCCGCACGCCGTGCCATCCTGGACGCCGCACGAGCGCGCTTTCCTGTGCAGTTTCAGCCGCTGATTAGATTACTGCACGCTTTGAGCGGGGCAGGGTTCCCAAGCTGGGATCCATTGGCCACTGTCGACGCTTCTACCGGACCTGGCATGTATGAAACGCAAAGAGCGGAATGTGCAGACTACGTCGCCCACTATTTCGACACGCTACCGTCTTTCACACAAGTCATACCTGTGGGCTCATGCCAGGGGCAACATCCTCTATACGAACGCACGCAGGAGAAGTCCGGCCCCGGTGGATCACCCACACCCATCTACACCAATACGCGACCGATCCAGTTACCTGGCGGGAGCGTTTTACCGACACGTTCGCGTGGGCGGCTGTTGAGCTCTGACGGGGAGGAATTCATCATCGTGGCATGGCAACACGAGCACTCCGGCTGGCGTTTACTGCTGGACATCCTGACGGACTATAATCGCCGTCGGCACCTCATCCCATCTCGCGTCTCCGCCCCCCCTTCAGTGCCACTCTTCCAACCCCGAGGCGAGATCCCCACGATGCTCGAGCTCAGTGATGTTGGAATCGAGGTTGATGCGGACGGCGATCCGGTCTTCGTCACGGAGGCGCTCAGTTTGCTGAGTGGGATCTTGTCCGACAGTCAGTCGCGGGAAGCAGTTATGGACACTGTCGAGGACCCAGACGGAGTCAGTCCTGGCTTACCCGGTCTGACAGAGCAAACTATGCTCATCCTTGGAGACGCGTTGTCGCTCGCCGCAGCACAACCACGCTCAAAGCCCGAGGCGGCTCTCATTTCCGCTTGCCTTGGGATGTTGTCTGTGCTTCTCACATCTGTGAAGTACGCGCATCTCGTGTGGTTGATCATTCGCGCGACGCCTGCTCTTTTCGAGACCAACCGCCGTACAGCGAGTGCGTCTGCAGTGTTGGCAGCCGATCGAGCTGTGGGCTCATACGCGACGACATATGCACTGTTGCGCTTCGTGTATGCGCTCTATAGCGAGGCTTCGGAGACAGTGTTGGTTCCAGAGAGGGAGAAACTTCAGGCGGTGAAGGTGGAGGTTCTGTTGCGTGCGCTAAGCTTCGTGCACACCGAGATCTGGGTCGAGCATGGTGGATGGAAGTACCGGCGTCTGAGCGAGCGATTCGAAGTCGGCATGCTTGTCTCCATCCTGTACGGCGATATTCTGGCGCAGAACACCCCGGGAGATAGTGGCCCATTATCTGCGCTTAGCCAGGCCGTATTCGATGCACTTGTCCTCCAGGCGACGTCAGGGAGCATTGCGCCACTTGTCAGCGTGCTCACCACCTTCCCAGCTGTCAATCGCCGTATCCAGGCGTCACCGCACAGAATTGACCTTCGCGCTCTATATGGGCTACTGCGTGCGCACCTGCGGGTATTGCGTCTCTGTCTGACGCACAAGCAGCGTCTATTCGCGGAAGCTGGCACCTGTCTTCTTGAGAACGCACTTTGCACGCGCGCAGGGGCCAATGGGTTTGGAGGCAAAGCGGCGCAAGTGGCTCCTCTGGATGCTCTCGCGAGCATCTCCGAAGACCCATCCGTCGATCCAGTCGTCCCACTCGAAGCGATACGGGTCTTTAGCGCACTCTGTGCCTCACTTGCAACGACCCAGCCTTCCGCTCCGACTATACTCGGACATCTCTCCGATCCCGAACTGATCGTATCAAACATGGCGCGCACCGCTCAGGACCCCTACATCGAAGAGGATATCCGCGTCGCCATCTGGCGCTTCATGGCCCTTGCGGTAGAGAAAGAACCCGCATTGGGGAATCTCTTCATTGCTGGTCGACTTCGGACAGCAGAGAATGGCGACACCGGTCCGAAAAGCAGGCCGAACGGGAATGCGGCCCTCGTGCAGAAGCGGACGAACGCACTCGAGGGCGCTCGCATATCGGTGCAGACTTGGCAACATCTTCTCGAGCAGAATCCCAAGCTGCTTGTCAGCACACTCGGCTTCTTGTGCGCGGTATGGGCGCGGGGAGAGGAGCATATGTCGGCGCTGGAGGCCTTTAGAAGGGATAGAGAGGTTTGGGACGGTATTGCGGGCATCATCAAGCAGGATCTTCCACCCCCGCCCGACTATCATAGCATTGAGGCTGCGCCCGACTCCACTGTTCCCCCACGTTCAGCATCGCACGACGCGGTCGCCGCCCACTCTGCCGTCCTACTCGCAAAGGCGTATGCTGTGCGCATCCTTGCCCTTGATCTTGCACTGGGAAAATTGGACTTCAAGACTGGGACGACGCGGGAAAAACCTCAAAGCTTTCTGGCCCTGGAACCATTATTCAAGTCCGGCGAGCAGCTGAACGACCATCTCCACGAGGCTATTGCTAACGCATACGATCCCGATCTGTTTGACGACATCGCACTTCGGGTTCGAGAGCAGTTCACCGAACTCGTCGTGGAGCGCCTCGAGTCTACGTTACTCCCAGCCGACCGCGACTTCGGCGACGACTTTGCCTTCGATATGGGTTTGCTACACATGCGGATGCGACCGTTCCTGCTCTTGGAGAATGAAGAGGGAGGACCTGCCGAGGAGATCATCCATGCACTTTTCTCTGTCAATCTGAACCTTTCGTTATCGCATGCAGGACGCGAGCTTGGCAGTTCCTGGTGGGCATTGTTGGCCGAGGTCGTTCCATTCCTGCGAGGAGATTCCGCATCACGCTCTCAGATGCTCCCTCTTGCGGCAGCGCTTTCCGAGGGCATTGCAGCGGAGCAGCGCGGCGGGGAGTTCATGGCTGCGGTTCACGAAGTACGATTGTCTGTCTTGCTGGCTGTGCTTGAACTTGTGTGGTTTTCGCAGACGGATGCAAAAAAGGACGTCGAAACATTCGTCAGACTCCTCGCCTCTCTCCGCATCATCATCAACAGCGAATCACACCCGCCTCTGCACTCGGTCAGAGGGTCCGTCAAGACACCTTTCCATCGCACGCTCCTACAAATCGTCTACTTTTGCGTCCGCCAAAGCCGGAATGTATTCGAGCGCAAGGATGTCACCACTTCATCCGACCGACTGTCCATCTCAGCCCTCGTTGACACAGCACAAGTCTTTACCATCGAGGCTCTTCGCGCTATCGTCGATGCCGCTCGGGAGAAGCTCGATGCCGAGATTGATGCCGACATGGAAGTACTCATCGCGCTCTTCCGCGAATGCACTCGCCCCGAATTGACACTTTCAAGCAAAATGTGGCTTCAACGGTGTACTGAGACGGATGTCATCCGCGCAACACTAGAGCTCTTCACGCAGGTCGATCTCACCGGCCTGACAAACCTCGTGTTTTCCCGCCGTGGGGAACCTCTGTATGCGGCGCATCTCCTAACTTTCCACACCGCCTTGGCAAATGTACATGCTGGTGCGGAACGCCTGGCGTCTGAAGGCGTCCTCGTTGCATATGCGAGCGCACGTTTGGCAGATCCTATTGAGGAGACTCTTCCCGAGTTTCCGGGAGAGCGCAACCCCGCGCACGTCGCGTACTGCACCATGCTCGGAATTGTCTCTGGTGTCGTAGCCTCCCTGGGCATGCAGAGGCACTTCTTCGACATCGACGCGCAAGGCTTTGTTCGTCTTCACGGGTCGCAGATATCCCGCACACTCAGCTGGGTTGCAGGCGATCCTCTCAGTCTGCCGATGATCGAGGAGATGGAACGCACGGTGAATGTGTTTTACGCGTTGGCCGCGAACTCCGCGAGGTCTACAACGACACGCGACTCCGAAGACGGCGGGATGCTTGCTGTGTTCAGTTCTAGCGCCCTCTTACTTCTGCAGCAGCTCAACTACGCGCTTACCCACCCGAACCACCTCGCCGCGATCCTTGAGCCTGTGACCGTTGACGAAAAAGCGGCTTTAGAGCGTGACCAGCAAGAGCCCACTGCTACGGGCGGGGCCTTGGTCGACCCTGTCAAGCGGCCGTTCCTCGCGCGTGTCGTGCACCGACTATTCGCACTCACGAGTAACATTCTCGGAACGCTCGTCACGATAAGTCACGCGGAGGATGTCCTACACGCGGAAGCAGATGATATTCCCGTTCAACATGCCCTGGTGATGCCTGTAAGTGGCTCTTATATACTCCCTTTGCACTTATGCTCAACGGATCGCATAGCATTCGAAGGTCCTTCTGGGTGAGCCCGCGTCCATGGGGACCCTATTGGAGCTTGCAGGAAACTGTCTTGACGTCTTGGTTCAACTATCATCAAGGCACCCCGGACAAGCATTGGCACCAGCATCGGCGATCTCACCCACAAGCCGTACCGCAGATCGGCCTTTGGATGTCAGTGTCGCCAAGAAGACTGTGCGTCGTACGCTCGAGAGCATTTTATTTTATGGCACGACACAACTAGGGCTGTGGCTCGTGCGGCCGGATGCCTTGGAGAGCGCGGGTGATACAGATATGGATGATGGTGAAGGCGCAGGGCGTAAACTGGACGAGCGGGTGCGACGTGGGATGGTTAGTGACATGGGAGGGGAGCTAAAAAGTGTCTTGGAGAAAGCGAGGGAGGTACTTGCGAGAGATCCGGGGGGGATCAAGGAGAACGAGGCAGACATCTCAGAGGTGCTCCTACGATTCCTCTCTGCGCGTGTTATCCGCACGTCGTCGTGAATTGTTTATTTCTATGGTCTTGATCGCTTTGCTGTGTCCTCATGCTCTAAGTAATCTAATCGTACACTTGCTTCTCGACCTGCCGTCGAGCGCGGATGCCGTGAACGTCCAAGATTGTCGGGAAGTAGCGATGACATCTGAAACGACGATTGAAAAGGCGGGAGCGCCTACCAAACGCACCCTGGTTCCGCGCAACTGTCATGATGCATAATGCAGATCAGTGCGTGCATGCTCGAATGCTAGGCGTGCTCGTTTTTCCTCTCGAAGTGTGATGGCCTAGTAGTAGTAGTAGTAGTAGACCACCATTGGACCCTTAATCGGTCCCGGCTGGATCCCGGCTAGCCCCTGTTCCCAGGCGCGACACGTTACGCTGATCCTCCACATCGAGACGTTGACACTACGTTTAAAGTGGACCATCTTCGAGCTCGGGGGCGTGCTGTTTTTTTTTTTTTGAGCC